ATACAGACAAAGGCTTTGGGGCATTCAGTCATAAAGGGGATGTCTTCATCAAAACCCTCAAGGCTCAGCGATCTATGGGGAAGAGGAGGTTGAATGACTGTAAGAGGCAGAGGTGATGGATGACTCCAAGGAAACGGTGTCTCCCAGACACAACAGGACGGAGTCAATGCACATATGACCTCATGGAGACTATGACAGCACACACAAGACCTATACAGGTTCCAGCCTGTGTGGGTTCTAGCACTGAGAGTTCCCAGTCCCCACCAAAAAGCCATCTGTAGCTGATATCTGCTGGCAAAGGGAATATCAGTTTTCTCCAATGGAGTCTCACTGGGTATATTAACCACACTTCACAGGCCCCCGTGCCCAGTAGCTGGGCAAGACAAAACAAACTCAGTGGTATTTTTGTCTCATTTTACTTAGTTTAGGATTTTTTTGTCTTACTGTCTTTTGGTTATTTTGATTTTCATTTCTGTTTTGTGTATGTTTCTTGATTTCACTTGTTTTTTTCTTGATGGGGGATAGCCTGTATGCTATGAATATATGTTTCTCTTATTGACTGCTGAGTAAATGCTGATTGGTCATAGGCTAAACAGTTTATAATTAATATAAGCCTCTTTATGTTTGTTTGGGAATAAACACCTGTGGGACCAGATGGGACAGAAACTCCATCTACAGTTTTTAATGAGAAAGATTAAAAGAACATACAGTTGTGAAGGTAAGGAGGTGGAGGCAACAATTAGGGGAAGGGAAAAACATGATCAAAATATGATGCATGATAATTAATTGTAGACAGAACAAGAAAAATTCCCTATGAAAATAAATGTGACTTTTACTAACTTTTATCTCATGTACAAGTTTGTGGTTTTTAAAGCACAAAAGCAGTTGAGTGGTGGTGGCACACGCCTTTAATCCCAGCACTCAGGAGGCAGTGGTAGGCGAATCTCTGTGGGTTCAAGGGCAGTCTGGTCTACAGAGCGAATTCCAGGACAGCTAGGGCTGTTACACAGAGAAAACCCTGTAGATAGATAGACAGACAGACAGACATAAATGGATAACAAACAAATAAATAAAACACAAAGCCCTTAAGTCTTAAGATTTTATATAATAAGTGTAGATAAAACACAAGTATGTGAACTTTTGATTATAAGAGCTAATCCCATATTTAAAAATGCATTTCCCGTCTTCCTGCCTTCTTGTTATATCTTAGCAACAGTTTATGCTAGAGAAGTATCAATAAGTAATTTTCTGTGTTTCCATTCTCTGCGCTTTTTTTCATCCTTTCCACATAGAACAGTCATTCTTCAAGGTACCTCCTGGCTGGCAGCAGGAAAAATGCATCCTCCCTCTTCAGAGGACAGACAATGACAAAACCGATGAGCAATCACATACAGGTGACAAAACGCATGCCCATTAATAGAAAAATGAAATATAAATTCCAGGAAATTATCATTCAATCTTGATTTATAGTTGAGTGACATTTTTTAATGTCATTGACATTCACCTGAATCCATCACAAAGCCAAGCAAGATATACCTTTCATGGATAGCTCTCTAGGCATTTATCTGAATACAGGATTCAGCATAAGTAAGACTGCACGCTGGGAACAGAATCTAAAGAGCCAGGAGGCATATTAAAAGCGGTGCAGATGATGCAATTCACAGCAGAGAGCCATCTGTAGGCATGCATGCATTTAATGTTGATAGAAAACAGGGGTGACAGCAAGAGATAGACTGCTGCCGTTTCTTCTTTCTTGACAAATCATTTAAAGTACAGAACGTAATGCATAAGCTGGAGTACTTTCCAGGAGGTGTATAAACATCTCTAAGTTATGTACTGTGGTAAAATGAAAGTGAAATGCAATGTGAAAATTGGCTTCATGGTTCATTTCATGCCTTAACCATATAGCGATAATATGATACAATAAATGGGAAAATTGGTAAATAACATGAGCACCCCACTGGGCTAGGTCCTGTGGATAACACAGGAAAGATGAAGCCTATTTCATTCTTAATAATTCTAACACATTTTTTAAAAAATATTTGGAAAACACTAACTGTGCTGTCCGTTTTCATCAACTTGACACAAACCTAGACGCATTTAGGAAGAATAAAATTTAATGGGAAAAAATGGCTCCATAAGATTAGGCCATAGGCGAGTCTGTAGGGAGTTTTCTTGATTAATGATGGATGTGTGAGGGCCTAGCCCACCATGGGTGGTGCCAGCCCTGAGCAGATGGTTCTGGATGGTATAAGCAAGCAGGCTGAGGAAACCATAGGGAGCAGGCGAGTAAGCCGTGCTCCTTCAGAGCTTCTGCCTCAGCTCCTGACTCCAGATTTTCCCGCCTTGAGTTCCTGTCTTGGCTTCTTTCACTGGACTGTGACCCAGGATACATAAGCCACATAAACCCTTTCATGGTGTCTTATCATACCAACAGAAAGCCCATTTAAGACACAAACGGAAAGACAAGAGAGTACACACTCAACTCTTCAGCTGTTTCCACATGTAAGCACTATAGGAGATCAGAAAGGACATCATTATGTGCTGCAAAAACCAGAGGTAGCGTCATGTAGAAGACAGCTCTAGAAGCATGTTAGTAACCACGTGGAAAGAATCAGATAGGTAGTTTATCTTAGCAGGGGGAAAACAAACAGCAACAATGTTCTATAAGCACACCGAACAAGAATGGCCTCCTCATATTAAGTAAAATTTATGTCAGAATTATGCCTTTTTACAGAGAGAAATTAAATTAGCTCTTTTCTTAAAGCTAGTCCTATCTAGTGCAATTCCAGGTTGGGTCTACTGCTCAAGAACCTGTTTTCTCTCAAAACATTCCAAACTGAACTATAAACTTGTGGTCATCTTATTCATAGTAAATTACCTCAGCAGAGAACATACTATTTGGCATGCTTTCATTTAATAAAGTTTTGTCTTAATACCATTAGGAAGGACATTTGCGAAGGTATGTTCTTGATTCTTTTAAAAAGACGTTTGGTTTTCTGGGTTGTTAAGGATTTAGCAGAGAGCTCGAGAGACGAGTCAGCTGTTAAGAACACTTGCTGATCTTTAAGAACCCACACCAGGCGACTCACACCACAGTAACCCCACTTACAGGGTATCTGATCTTCTTCACAACTCTGAGGGTACCAGGCACATACATATATGAAGGCACTCACACATAAAATATATAATCAAATCATCTTTTCTTTAAGAAGGATAAAACACACATTGATTCAAATGTATATTATATAGATCTTTAAACTACAAGAATCCAAAGCCTACCCTCTTTGGGGATTTCATTTTAAATTCAAACTAAATCTAAAGTTTACAGACCTCTTTAATGAAAATGTCCTTTTCAAACCTCAATTAAATCATCACTATTAATCATCCATTCTTGGGGACAGTGGCTCATGCTTGTTAATTCTAGTACTACTAGGAAGGCTGAGGGAGGAGGATCACCCAAGTTCAAGGCCAGCCTGGGCTATGGAGTAAGACCATGTCTCCAAAAGTAGAAAAGAAAGGGGAATAAGTAAACAAGTATCAGGCAGTTAACTATAAAGGACAATGCTCAGGTACTCCAATAAATAAAGTTAAGTCTGAGGAAAGAGAACACAAAAACCCACAATGTATTGTTTCTATTCTCCAACAGTTTCCAACGCACATCTGCCCATCTCTCCTTCCCTTTCATCTGTCACCTCTTCATCTGCCCACCTAACCATCCATTAATCCATCATCACAGAATAGTACACACTAGATACAAAAAGGTGATATAGTTAGTAAGCATGTATATCTGGAAATACTTTGATTACATATAAAGAATTATATTACTTGCAGAGAGCTAAGATTTCATTAGAGGCTAAGGCTCTTTTATTAGACTGTCATTGTCATTACCACAGTAACCTCACCACTGCAAGATGGTGGATCTCCCTGTCTTGAAATCTGGCTGTGCTTTAAACTACTAGCAGCCAAGTCACTCAGGCCATAGCCCGAGGGAGATTCTGTTTGCCTAGACAATGGCTTTGTTGCAGCTGCTAAAGGTAGTTTTAACTAAATCTCTATCCTTCTAAGACAGCTCTAGATTCAAAGGCTAGGGTGAAAACCTGAGAGCTCAGAGAGTTAAGAGTAGCAACTGGCTTACCCTTCTCTCTTTGCTAGCATCCCAGAAGCGTCTCTCCTTCTACACGAAGCTCCTCCCTGCTACTTCCTGGCAACTAGTTACTAGCTCCGTCTCTCTGAGCTCAGGGTATTTTTTATTTAATTAATGCAACTGCAACACATCTTTACATAATTAAGCAAAATGCATAAAAAATGTAACACATCTTTGTCTAGTTAAACAAATACGCCACAACAGGTGAAAATTCTTGTGGAACTCCAACAGATTTTAACTTATATATCATTTTAGATCTTTAGAGAAAGTCATTCTTAGTTTCAAAAGAAGAGTGTAGGCCCTTTAGCATACACAAGGAAGATTCAGTTCTGCTGCCACAAAAAACAGACAATAGAGAATCCCACAGGAAGCCATCATAGGTTTTCATACCTGCTTATAAGTGAATCACCTAACATAACTAGGTGCTAGGCACTATATTAGAGATAAATAATAAAATGGATTCCCTGGAATTTATATTGCAGCCAGCAAGCAAACACCAAGCAAGTGTTGTCAAAGACCATCATAAACAGAAAACCAAAAGAAGTCACAGGAAATATCAGGGTTGGCAACAAGTCATTCAAGGAGACTACTGCAGATGTCCAAACAGACCATGACCAGGAAGTAGCTATACAGACTCAAGATACTAAGAAGGAAGATGATAAAACAGGAAAACCACTTGTGGATGAGATGCAGGTGAGGAGATGCCTTTGTGTGACCCAGCTTTGACAGCTTACATCGGTTGTCACTTGACAGGATCTAGAATCTCCTTGGAGGAAAATAGTTGAGTCAGGCTCACTGGAGGGGGTTAACCTCGGTGTAGGTAACACACCCACGGCGCTTGCGTCCTAGACTGCACAGAAAGAAGGAGCTCGAGCATTCATCACCCTCTGCTTCCTGACTGCAGACACAGTAGACGGCTGCCTAAAGCTCCTGCCACCAGGACCTCCCACCATGATGGACTTTACCCTCCAGCCGGTGAGTCAAGGTAAACTCCTCTCCCTTAAGTACTTCACCATAGTCATAGGAAAAGTAAGTAGGACACCAGCAAGTGAAAAGTCAGCACACACACACACACACACACAGACTCTACTCCTGTGAGAGGAAAAGTTGAAGAATATCAGACACACGAGGGTGGCGGCAAAGTGTGGGAAAAGAAAGATGGGTGACACAGATTAAAATAAGTCCAACTACAACTGTCTCTGTGCAAAAACAGCCCGTAACTGGCCACTGATCGTGCCCAAGCACACTATGCCGCTTGCCAGGCTGGGATCATCAGGAGCTCCCAGGGAGGTACCATAGGCTCCCAGATGGAGTTGTCACAGAACTGTGAGCTGGTTACAGAGAGTTGACCTGGGGCTGGATATACGGTGTGCAGAGAAACCACCAGAGCAGAAGGAGCTGTGAAGATGCGCCAGAAGTGTGGTGCGGACCTGAAGCTGAGCTGTTTTACAAGCATCCTGGAGGGACTAGCATGAGGAGTATTTATATAAATACATATATGGCCCTAATTAGTAAGTAACAACATTGCATTGTGAGAAATGTGCTAACCTTGGCAGAAGTATCACCAATGAACACTGATCCCTAGATATTGCCTAGACTTGGGGACTTTTCTCGTGACATCATTGTATGTTTGGATACTGAAAGTAGGTACAGATGGGATACTATCAATAGTAGAAAGGGAATATATTAGTTACTTTCCTGTTGCTGTGATAACATCATGACCAAGATGAGGTGATGGGAGATGTCATTCTGTAAATTTGTGTTACTGGTTGCTGAATAAAGCATGTTGGCTAATAGGGAAGCAAGATAGGTGGGACTAGGAGTCAAGGAGGATTCTGGGAAAGAGAGGCAGGGATGGACACCATGTTGACTGCCAGAGTGAGAGGTCTGGACCCCTTTCTCCGGTAAGAGAAATACTTAGATTAACAATTATGGGTAAAATACTTAAGTCAGAGCTAGCCAGTAAGAAACCAAGCAAACGGCCAACAGCTTTATAATTAATATAGCATCCTGTGTGTTATTTGGGGGTTCAGACAGCACAGCTGGGCCCAGGCAACTGGCAAGGAAGACTACACTCTACAGTAAGGAAGAGATTATTTAGGCTTATGGCTCTAGAGGGATAAAATCTGTCTTGATGAAGAGGCTTGGTAACAAGTGGCAGTAGGGCATAGCAGCCAGACCATGAATCTGAGTGTTTATATCCTCACTGGGAAGCATGAGGGGAGTAAATAAACTGGGAGTAGAGTGGGGCTTTAAGCTCTCAAAGCTGGGCCCCCATTGACATGCTCCTCCAATAGGGCCACACCCCATAGACCCCCCTAAACTGCATCACCAACTGGGAAACAAGGGTTCAAATACTGGTGCCTACAGGAGACATTTCTCATTCAAGTCGCTATAGACAGCAGCATGCTATTAACCTTGAGTAAACATGGAAAGGACAAAAAGGATGTGAGAATTCTCTAAGCTTAGGCAATCTGCTTTTTTTTTAAAACTATTTTTCAGATGAAGAAATCAAGGTCCAGAAAAATTAAGAAGTAAATCTTGAGATCTTGTGAGTAGGTACTACTGACTTCATACTATGCATTGACTCCCTTCTGCTTTGTTCTCAGAATAAAGTGGTAGTTTTAGCCTAATAAAAGTTGTAGGACTCAGCCTAACAAAAATTGTACCTTTTGGTACCATAATAACTAAGGTTAAATAGGGGAAATCCAAGGTAAATATATATATATATATATATATATATATATAAAGAGTAATTATGGCCTGAAACTCTACACTGTCGATTAAAAAACTTGAGGTATAAAAGAATGCCTTTAAAAAGACAAAAACAGAGGGGAAAAAATGTTTATTTTGGTAACCATGTTGCTATAGCAACGCTATAACAATCCTCAGAAGAGCTTTCACAGTTATGCCAATAATAAAATATATACATAGGTCTACCAATAATATCAAATAAATAGCAGTCTCCATAGTCTTGCTAGATCTGGTAATGTGGAAACCCATGTAAACTGTATTTATACTAATCATCAATCCATCTGTCAACTTCTGTTTACTGTTTGCATGCGCCCTCCAAGAGAAGGAGTCAAGGAAGAAAGTATACACTCTGCCTTGGGACTCTGAAGTATACAGCCTCGGGATGACACGGAATGGGGACCAAAAGTAATAGTTAGCTGACCTTAGAGCTACCAGTATGAATAAAACATACTGTTTCCTCAATGTTCAAGAGATACATAGCACTAATATAAATACAACAGATTCACACTTAATATGCTTACAATAAAAATGTGGTATAAACTTCTGGGTTTAAATTATGTTTTCATGTCCCTGTGTGTACTGCAATAATTTATGAGTAACATGAAATAAATACTTTTCTAGGTGTTCCCAAACATTTAAGTATGGCTGATGGGGAAGTCCTGTGTATATGTCAATAAAGCATTGTTGGCCAATAGGGAAGCAAGATAGGTGAGACTAGGAGTTGAGGAGGATTCTGGGAAGGAGAAACACAGAGAGTCATAATGTAGCCTCCAGAGGAGTAAAAGGTCCGGACCCTTTCTCCGGTAAGAGAAATACTTAGATTAACAATTATGGGGTTAAATACTTAAGTCAGAGCTAGCCAGTAATAAACAAGCAAACAGCCAACAGCTTTATAATTAATATAGCCTCCTGTGTGTTTATTTAGGACTGACACGGCTCTGGGACCAGGCTGGCAGGAAGGCTTCACTCTACATATGGCCATACATGGGCCAGTGCTAGTTTGCATTTCTCATTGCAGAGATTTGCACCTTGCACTACGGGAGGCTGACCAGAGACTTGAAATGGTTCTCTTAAAACCCCGCCCTTTGAAAACCACGGTTCTGTATCAGTTCCGTGTTCCACACACCCTTGATTATTCCAAATGAGTTACACAGTCATTCTAACATGTATGCACCCTAAGCTACATGCATGAATGACAAAAAAAGAAAAGTGTTTCAGAAACCCAAACAGCAGAGAGAGATGACTCAGCAGGAGAGGACTGGGCTCGGCATACACTGTGGACTTCTGGAACTCTGGTTCCAGAGTATCTGACAACACCTATGCATACCTCTTCCAGCTGCTTCCATCCATAAACTTAAATATCCTCTATGCTAGTGGGTTCCCAAACTGTGGGTCTGGTTTGGCTTTGGACAGCTGGTATGGTCCTGTGAACTTTTATTGGGCTAACTGCTTCAGATTTCACTTGTTTGCCTAGCATGGTAACTGCCAACTATGATGGAAAGATTTTTTTAAGATTTTTGATTTATTTAAAAGTGGACCTTTTTTCAGATACAATGGTGTTTTACTAATTAAATAAATGCATAGAATATGCTGTGGCCATGTGACCATATTCACCACTGGTCCAAATCCAGAACTTTCTGGGAGATGGGCCACTGGGCATGTTTGTGGGGAATTATCTTTATTTTGACAATTGATGTGGGAAGACTCATCTTGACTGTAGGTAGGCCAATCTCTTGATCGAGAGACTTCGACTATATAAAAACTGTATAAAATGGAGAACACAAGCTCAGCACCAGCTTGCATTCACCCTCTCTGTTTCTGGGTATAGATGTAATGGGAGCCAGTACTTTGAGCTCCTGGTGCCTTTGACTTCCCCTCTGTGATGGACGGCACCTTGAACAGTGAGCTAACATAGGGCAATTTATACAGCAACAGAAGGGAAGCCAAGACAACCCCACCACTCTCCCTGTCCTCTTGCTGGTTCCCTCCCTCCCATCAAGCTCTGTTCTTTCCCCCATGCTGTGTGTGTGTGTGTTTGTGTTCGTGTGTGTGTCCATGCACATGCATATTTGGTCAGTGCCTGAGCAATAGGCTCTGTCTTCATGACTGTAACAGTCATCCCATACCAGGAAGGCAACATTTCAGTATTCCTCCATCCTCTGGCTCTTAAAATACTTCTGGCCCCTCTTCCTTGATGTGCCTTTAGCCTGTGGTGGGTGGTGGAGATTTCTCACTATTTACTCTCGGCATTTTCTCTGGGAAAGGAGGGTTCTGTGATCCACATTGACAGCATCAGTGGTGTCTGTGTTCACTTGGGGTCAGTCTGAGTGTCTGTACATTCCAGCAGAATTGGGGAGATGAGTGATGACGGGGAACCATGTCGTGCACCCCTGATTTCACAGTTAGAATCCTGTGTTCCTCAAAAGAACTTTAGTCCCATCCCTCAGGGCGGACTGTATCCTGTGGCTTAACTTTACTTGGGACAGTCTCCATTTGGAACTGGAAGAAGAAATGTTGAAGAGGCACATGGAGATGTATATATGAAGCCACTGACTTCTGTAGGCTACTGTTATTTGTGAGGAATTACACAATCACCCCCCCCCACCCAAGTTACTCAAAGCAAAACTTAATTTGACTAAAAACCAACTCAGGGTTTATATTGAGAAGGAGGAGCCCCGTTGTCACCAGGTTTTTTTCCCCCTGTGTATAAAACTTCAGCAAGAGCAAGACTAAAAGGTGGAAGGGAGCAGGGGGGACCTCAGAAACCCCAACAGAACGAAGCTCCTGAGTTCCCTTTGTTCCTCGTATGCCACACGGTGCTGGAGAGCTTTCCAGAACAGAACTGCCCAGAGCCACAGAGAGAGGAGAACTCTGACCCACTTCGCTACTAGAGGAGAGGGTGGCTGACCACAGAAGACATTTTTAGCAATACCTGCCTTACTCTGGCCAAGCACAACTGGAAGCCATACCACTCCACTCTACTGTTTCAGTTGGGTGGAGCTGCAGGAGTCACCTTCCATACCACCCCACGGGGGGAAGGGGGGGGTCACAGGGGATGCACTCCAAGTGGAGAGTCAGTGGGGCTGAGCTGGGAACTGCTAAATTCCGGAAAGAAACAAAGTTCTGGTGTCCCCAACAGGGCAGTGTCAGCAAGGCCGATGGGGGCCTGAGGCTCTGTCCCCAACCTTCCCCAAGAAGGAACAGGACAGTAGCATGAGGCTTTCTTTCCACACCTGGCATCTGTGAGATCCCTGGGGAAAGCAGAGACCATGAGGGGCACTGGAAACAGCACTAGTGAACACTGCTCTATCCTGTCAGTCCTGAGCCTCCAACTCCACAGGGTACCACTGAGGTGGAATGATGGAGTGTGAGACTCTGCTGCCCTGCCCTCCGGGATTGGTGGAGCCAGTAGGAAGCTGAACTTCATTCCCAGCCCCCACCATCAAGAAGGAGGATTAAGTGGCTAGAGGTACTCTCCTTCTACCCCTCAGTGGAAAGAAGAAACAGAAGAGGCAAGCTTCAGGCCCTAAACCTCAGCAACAAAACAATGTAAGACAGACCTTGAATTCCATGTGACTCTGGGAGTTCAGTAGCTGGGAGATCATTTTACATCCCAATGCAAAAACACAGCAAGTACAAGACAGCGACCTATTCCCAGAAAAGTGTGAGACCAGGGAATAGATGAAGTTCCTCTTCACCAATCTAATACAGGGTATTGTGAGCCAGGACCTCATTTTTCCAGGAGCATTATCAGCGAGCCCAGTAGGAAATGACACATAGGCTGTATTAGTCAGTGCTCCCCAGATAAACAGAAACAATAGGTCACACGGAGAGAGGGAAAGAAATTTATTATGAGTAACGGTCATATGATAATAGAAGCTACTAAGTCCATGATGTAAGTAATGTAAGTAACTGCCTAACATAAGTTGTTGACCCAGGAAGGTAGCGAGTGTATTTATTTCTGGTCCAAGCCAAAGGCCCGAGGGTCAAGATCTCAGTACACGTCTGAGCACCAGAAACTCTGGTCTGAGGACAGAAAACAAACGCTACAAAATAACTCTTCACTTTCCCCTCATTTTTATTCTCTGAAGTCTCATCAGACAGCCCAACCACACTAATTAAGACTCATCTTTACCAATTCAAGTACTAATCTCTTGGATAAACACACAGACACACCAGAAATCGTTGTGCCAGCTATCTGAGTATCCCTTACATTAGTCAATTTGACATAGGCATCCACCACCAAGCCAGAAGCAGGACACCACAGTGTTAATAGAAACGACCAAACACTGCCATGAATCAGATGTTAGAATTATCTGACAAGAATTATACAGCTAATACAAAAATGCCTTTTTTAAAAACTAAGAATCTCTTGAAACAAAATAGAAAATTTTAGAAAGAAATAGAAATTACACCAAAGAACCAGATAGAAGTTATAAAACTAAAAATTATGATAAGTAAAATAAATTTATACTTTAAAATACAAGAATAGAATGAAGGCAGGATAGGAAGATTGGAAATTACGAAGACATGAGAAGGAAGGAGAGCCCACCAGTCTAAAGTTTTTTGCCAGCCAAAAACCAACAAGCTCAGCACAATTAATACTGGCTTAAAAAGTTACCCACATAAAGGCAATTGTTTTTATTTAAAATTAAAATGCTAAAATAGCAGTAAGCCAGGCTTAAGGCCTGATGTGTAGGACCCTGAGTTATATTTCACTCCTCTCCCAGGTACTTCTGGGAATCTCCCAAACTATTGAGTTTTATTTCCAACTTCCTGCATTTGTGATCAAAAGTCCTATTTTATCAATTGGTAATCCTGTCTGCATGTTGTTAGGTCTCAGGGTATGGCTGGTATACCCCACCCTCTGTTTGGAGCTTGCCAGCCCAGGGCCCTGGCTGCCCTTCCCCAGGAGGCTCCTCCCTATAAAACCCCCGCACTGTTGGTCAGTGGCTCCTTTCTTTTTTTAACCTTTCGCCCTCATGACTCCTACACCTGGTTCCCTTCTTCCCTTCTCCTCCCAGCCCTCCTCACATGGCTCAGGGTCACATCCCAACTGTCCCAGATGCCTCTGCCTCTGGCTATGCTCTCCCTTTTATCTCCTGCAAAAATTCTCCTCACCAAACCTAGAGCAGCCATACCCTTCCTTTTCATTTCCTGTTTTCATCTGCGTTTCTTAGCAATAATAACTTCAGAACTCACCAAAGTCAGAAGTGTGGTTTACCCCCATGCTACCCCGTGTCCGTTCTTCCCTGGCCCCTTCTCTCTGGAATTCCTGTGCTTAAGACTTATGTTTAAAATGGGCCTTAAGAAATTCCAAATCTGCTTCGTACTGGCTCACCTGTAAAGTCATTTCTGTGGTAAAGACAATTGGCTTTACCTGAAGAGAGGTCTCTGGAAAGAGCTGTCAGGTTGCTGGGCGTGGCGGCATGCAGCTGTATCTCCATCCACGCCCCCCCTGAACTGATAGTATCACAGAGAACCGTAGCAACAAAACTTAAGAATTTACCCACT